TTCAGAGGGAGCAGCAATGAGGCTGAGATCACCAGAGGAAGCTGGTGGTGTGTTAAAATTCAGAGGACCAAGCACTCCAGTCCTGCACAAGCTGGGGGGGGAAAGGGAGTAGATGCCATAGCTGACCACTGCCAGAGAAGGAGATGCAACGCTGAAGCCAAGGGTCATGGGACAGCAGATGGAACCAGCAGGCTGAGTGTTGCAGAGGTGCTCCATGGACAAAAACCAAAGAGGGCATGGGAGAGGGGAACAGCAAGAGCTCCTCCAAAGGTAAGGGACACCAGGAGGCACCAAGGGCTCCCTCCGTTTCTGCCTGCAGGGGGTTTGGGGAGGTGATGGCCACCTGTGCACCCTCCCCTCCTGCAGAGCTCCCAGTGGTGACACTCGGTCTATGCTGGTGCCCAGCACACACACGGAGCAAAATGCCCACAGGACGTGGGCACTGAGTCAAAAACCAACCATAGAGACTGGGCCAGAGAAGAGAGCTGGTGGTGGCCCAGTCTAGGTAACCTCAGAAAACACCTCCCAAGGGAAGGGGGGTGGTGAGCTAACCCCCTCTGCACTCTCAACAGCCATGCAACAGGGGCATGCACGCCCCCTCACTGAAACCCTGGCAGGGTCCGGGTTATTGTTTTGGAGAGAAACCACAGTGCCGAAAGGAGAACGTGCTGCCGCACCTCTTCCCACGGCCACCAAGCCAGAGCAGCGCTGCCCACGGCAGGGCTGTCCTGGCCCTGCAGCCCCAGCAAGGTGCCCAGCAGAGCCACCCACTCGCAAAGGTCCTGTCCGCACCGAGTGGGTGCTTTACTTTCCCCTCACCTGCCCCAGGGAAGCCCCCACCACGGTGCAGAGCACTTACCCGTGAGGATGAGGAGGAAGGCAGACACCAGGCACCGCGTCAGCCCCATGGGAAACGGCTCTGCTTGGGTCCTCTCCCAGAGGGGTGGTGGAAGGCTCTCATGGGTGATGGTGACAGCCACCCTGCTATTTTGAAAGCAGCTGGGAGGAAGCTGCCCGGTGGTGGTGGTTTCCTCTGCTTAGAGATGGTGGGGAGAAGTTGGGGAGCGGGGTGCAACAGCAAAGTAACACGCCTCTGGGAGGTGACAGCCGGCATCCCAGCCCCCATGCTGCCTGGGCAAGGGTGATGCCCAAGGCCTCTCCTGCCGCTGTGTGCGTGCCAGGTGCCTGGCGCTATCGGCTGTGGCTTTGCTGTCCCACGGCAGCTCACAGGCTAACCCTCTGCCTCGTGGCTCCCTCTGTGTTGCGTGGAGCAGTTTGCTCCCTGCTAACAGAGGTGGCAAGGGGCCAGACCTCGGGGAGGGATGGGGGCAGATTTCTGAAGCTTCCCCCAGCTATTTATTTGTCATAGCTGCAGACAGCAGCATGATGCCTCAGGTACACGCTGGGTTGGCACAGTGCTCCCTGAGGATGGCTGACCAAGCTCTGGCTTGGGGCGCAGTGTGGCACTCCGAGTGAGGTGTTTCTCCTACAGCACCCCCACCAGCCCATCAGCTACACAGGCAGGAGACCCTCCATCGTAACTACCAGCCCAGCCCAGGCGGCTTATAGGGTCTCAAAGGATTACCACGCAGCCAGAAATCAGCTGGGAATGCTCTCCTGTAAGCACATCCGATGGGCAGGTACCTGCACGTGGGGCACCCTGGACCAGTGCTGCTCGCAGGGACAGTAAGGCCCCAGGGAGCCGCACTGGGAGGGCTGAGACCAGGTGACTGCTGGCCACAGCCCCAGAAGCAAGCACTGTGGTGGCATCGGCAGCAGCGTGGCATCGTGCCATCGTGCCATCGGCACTGCGTGGCCTGGGGCATGATGCTGCTCCTGCCGGCAGGTGCCAGGGACATGGAGGGAGGCTGACCGGGGGACATTCCAGGCAGGGGGGACCCCG